GGTGATGCACAGAGCCTAGCTGGCCTGGGACAATGATCCAACAGCACCCTCACTCCTGCTCCCCTTGCTACATTTGCAAACTTGCCAAGTTTGGGTGATGGCCTCTCAGGTTAGGAGCCCACCAAGGCCATGGAAATGTCTGTGAAAGGCAGTCATTCTTAAAAGGGTGCTGAAGCATTTATAATGGGCACAACCCACTGGAAAGCAATTTGGCAAAATACAGAGAGTCACACACATACAAAAAAATGTTCATATCCTTTGAACCAGAAATTCTGCTTCTGGGAACTTATCCTAAATAAATAACCCCAAAGAAAGAAAACACTGTATTCACAATGCTCTTCATTACAGTTTAGTTAAAAATAACATAATACTGGAAATAACCAAATGCCTAAGAGCAGAAAAATGTTACGTAAATTATGGTAGAAGTCATAAATAAAATTTTATGCGGTGAAAAAAGTATCTGAGTTACTAAAAGTGTATCACAAGATGGGGAAATTCTTACATTACAACGATAGACATTTGTTGGGACTGGGAGGAGGACAGAAACATGGGACACTCTGCAATCAGGAGATGTGTCTGCAAACAAAGATAAAGATCAGGAGGAGACACCAAGAACGCCTAAGTATTTGTTTACAGTTACGACATTACGGGGAATTCTTTTCTTCTACTTTGGAAATGTTATCAGATGCGATTTTATTTTCTCCAATGCGTAATACACATTCAGAAAGTAAAGCAAAATATTCTATTTCCTCCAGGTCAATAGCAATAAACACAAAAGCTAAAACCGGGAAGCAGAACACAGGGTCAAATGAAACCTCATGTGGATCCACTGATTTCATACTGCTTTCTTCATCAATATCACTCGATAAAGTTGCCTCATGTGCACTTTCACATTCACTAGAAAACCCTGTCCCGAAATCTCTTCTCTCCAGCACTACTGGTTGGGCTCCAGCTCAATAATGATCCCATTTCTTTCCCATCGAAGATTCTAGGATGCTCCAGTGCTGTGCGGCCAGCATTTCCTGGGCTCGGCACCTCACAGCCCATCCCTCACCTACTGTGGCCAACAGCGGTGAGGTAGGACACACGGAAACCTGAGGTTCAGGAGGCTGCAACTTGTCCAGGGTCACGCAGGTAGAGGTGGTCAGACCCACGAGCCAGTGTTCCTTTTCAACTGCTTTTCTCAGCTGCCTCTACACATGGGTGGGCCCAGCCAAGTCCCAAATTCTAGCCAAGTGTTTTCCTCAGACCTCAACAGCTCAGGGGACCTTCCTTTCAATATGAATTCCCCTGCTCAACTGGCATGGCTGAGGGCCACTCTTGGTATTTCAGTCTTACTTGGTATTTATTCACTGCCGTAGCCTCTTATCTCACACAGGGCTGGCAAATGCTAGCAAATGCTCAACAGACAGGACTGATGAAAGAACAAATAGTGTGATTTATGAAAGGTGGGAGAGAAGGCACTACTTTATTGTCAAATGCCTGCTTCTGGCTTGCAAGGCCCAGCCACCCTCCTCGCTGGACGCCTCCCCTCCTCCTTTCTCTCCTTCCCTCCACTCCAGGCACCCGCCCTTGCAGAGCCAACTACTTCTCACCTGGGCCTTTGCACTTCTGCCTGTTGGAGAAGCTCCTACTTCAACCTGATGCCTGCTGGCTCCATCCCACTCTTCAGATTTCTGCCTGAATGTCACCTCCACACTCCACCTTTTCCTGACCATCCATCTAACACACAGGTCCCTGGGAAGCTAACAGTTTACTCTCAACTACTGACCTAAAGGCTGGGGGTTCAAACCACCCAGCAGCACCACGGAAGAAAGGCCTGGCAATCTGCGTCTGTGGCGATTACAGCCAACAACATCCTCTGGAGGCAGTTCTCTGTAATGCGTGAGGTGGCCATGAATTGGCGCTGACTAGGCAGCAATGGGTTTGGTGTCTCTATCTAAAGCCCTCAGGCCCCTGCCACTTCTTTCTTTCAAGCTTTTATTGCAGCCTGGTATCAAAGCTGTTGGTTGGTTGTCTCTGCTGATGTCCTGGTGGCTGCAGAAGGCAGGGACTTTGTGCTTGGTTCACGTCTGCACCCCCAGGCGTAGCACAGTGAACACTCTATGGTTAGGAATGATTCACTAGTAAGGGTTGTTTGAAGTTCTTTGATGAGTCCTTAAGGAACATAAAGTGTGCGGTCTTAGAAAGAGTCAGTCTTCTAAAAGTTAAAACAAATCTACTTGGGGGAATGAAGGGAGGAAACAACCCCCTACAAAAAAGCAACCACCTCTGAATCCAAAAGGATCAAGTGGAACGTTCTTTGGATATGAGCAGAAAAACCTGAGATGAACCACGTAACCCCTCAATTACTCACTAAACCATCTACCACCTTTAGCTCAAGGTCAAAGCCACTGCTATGTTCCGATTCGGAAACAGGCTTGAGGAGCAAAGCTTCAGATGACTCCTGTCTTGCCACAGGAACTGGACTGAGGCGAGTGGCGGAAACGCCCCTGCAGAAAATGATCCTTAATGTCACAAAAGCAAGCGTTTCTAAGGTGGATGGCTCTGCTTTGAGGTGGCCCACTTGACGTTAAGTGCTCACTGTCCTCTCCCTGGCTCGAAGACCCAAGGGCCCCGTGATTCAAGAGCTGCTTCTGCAAACCTGTAAGGCAGACGAAAGTCTAACAAAAGACCCAGGAGCCCTGGTGTTCTCAGCAAAGGGGCCGAGCAGCCCATTTGGGGCAATGGGAATGGGCTGCTACCTTGGGGAACTGGCACCTAAGGGAGACGTGATATACAAAGGACAGAGGGAAGATGAACTGATTGTCAGTGGGGACCTGCCAGTGGCCTTGTGCAGCTAAGCCCTGCACCCGGCCCTCACGGTAACTCTGGAACAGCAGCAAGTGCTGCTTTATGATGAACCAGTGCCTCCAGGCAAGCAGGAATCCCTAAGCCCAAGCCAGCGCCCCCCGTCATGAGCCTGACAGCCTCTGCCCTGGATGTCTCCATTACTTCCCGGTGGGTCACGACTGCCTACCTGCCACCCCCAAGCAGGGCATGAAGTCATTAGGCAGAGCTCACAGGAGGTAGCCAAGTAGCCAAAGTCCTCGTTGGGCTTCAAGGCCCCCAGGACCCAACACTGTTAGCTCTCTGGCCTTATCACTTCCTACTCAGCCTCTCTCACTTGGCTCCAGGGGTCGTCATTCTTGGGAGGTGCCAGAACGTGCCCTTTCTCTCTGGGCCTTTGCCACCCCCAGCTGCCCAGCCAGCCCCATATTCCACCTTCAGATCCACCCCTTTAGGTGCCTCCCCAGGCGGGATTAGGGGCCTGACAGCCATGCTCCTGGAGTAATGCCCCGGCTGCATGTCTTGGCCCTGCCTCCTCCCTCACCTCGGCCCCCAGCCCTGGATTCCTTGTGGACTGGGTGTGCTCTCTGACCCCGGCTGTCCAGCACTGAGGAGGGCTACATGAGGAGGGCAGCAGTGGGCCCTAAGGGGTTAGGTCTGAGAGGCCACACGGCCTGGGTTGAACACTGCTTCGAACTAGGTGGATGATCCTGAGCAAGTGCTGACCTCTCTGTGCCTCAGTTTCCTCCTGTGTAAAACGGGGATAACCATAGTGCCAACCTCCTAGATGGATTGTGAGGCTTCGATGAAGAAATCCACACAAAGAACTTATACAAATGACCCAACATGTCACAAATGCGACATGCTAAGAAAACTCAAGGAGCCATGAACCAAAGAGAAGGCTGAGAGCAGCAGCTCTTAGCACCTGCAGCCCTCTGGGACCCTGAGGCCGGCCCTCCCTCTCTGATACAGGGATGCTGTGGCCTGGTGGGGGTGCAGCCTCTCCATAACTGAGGAGAACCCTCACCTGGGAGCAGCCAGAGGCCCACAGTTGTCAGAGCTAGCTCCTCGTGGGCATTGATGCCAGGGATACTCAGTGTAAACACTGCCACCCACAAGTGAAACCATGTGCCTGACTAATGGGGGCTACAGCACCAGCGGGGGCACACGGAAGGCAGGTGTCAGTGGCTCAGACAGGGTGGGTCCTGTGGTGAGGTCTGTGGCTTTGCTCAGACAGCAGGGAATGTGGCCTGACATGAAATGCGTGGGTCTGACTTCCTGTGCACCCCCAGGCCTCTGAGGCAGTCACTGGCAGCAGGTGGAGTAGAGGAAGGCCACAGAATCCTTGGTGTCCGAGGCAGACACAGCATGACACTCCTGCTTTTCAAACACCAACAGTACAACACCTCTGCTGCTCTGGTCTCATGTGGACTAACTCAGGAGCACACAGGCTGATAAAAGTCGGGTACAGTGGGCTCCTCCAGACAAGCCATCAGTACTCAGTCTCTAGGGAATGATTTTCTAGGAAAAGGTTCTGGTGCTTTCTAAGAAAGAAACTGCGATCTTACAAGGGTGATAAAATACCATGAATAGCCGTGCCACGCCTGCTTCCTAGAGCACTTGCTTCAGAAAAAAAACAGCACTGCTAGAGGAAGCACACACTCCCACAGGGCTCTGAGGACCACTGTGTCTTCACACACCCCCCTCTCGGGCACGAGAACACCATCATCTGCGTGTGCCTTGGCCAGGTCAGCCAGATACCTCACCACTGCACTATCTCCTAGGGATCCTGGGCACGTCTGGGCTAAGACGTCGCACCGAGCTCACCTGCACTGTCCTCACTGGGCTTGGCACCCCCACATTCCACAGAAGCCCAGCCTCCTGGCTTCCTCTCCAAGCTCAGATGTGGGATGAGGGCGGGCACTGTGCTCTGGACCCAAAGCCAGCCTGCCTGCAGCTAATGTCTTCTGGCCAAGGAAAGGAGACTCCAACCTCATGCCACAAAGGGCAGTCATCCCCGGGAAGTTATGGCTGTAGCAGGGTGTGACAGTGGTGGGCTACCTCCACTCACACTGGGAGGTGGCTCCTGACTTACTCAGAGACCCTTTCCTCCTATCGGGGAGTAGCCATGGGGACAGCTTCCTAGGAGAGGACAGGCAGAGCTCACTTACCCGTCGGGTCTTCTCCACGTCACCACACGGCAGGCGCTTCACGAAGTCGATGCCCGTCAGCGGCGTGCCTGTTGGGGGCAGCAGGATGGAGGCATCCATCATGAGGTACTCCACGTTCATGGGCTTCATCTAGGTGCAAGAGGGCGTGAGAAAGCTCAGACACAGGGCACTCTCCAGGGCAGGGCAGCTGGGTGGGGCACGCGGGCCAGCAGCCCCGGCTTTAGACTGAGGGGAGGCCTCGGGGCAGCCAGGCCCACGAGCCACAGGCCTGTTGTGCTTTTGTGAGCCGCTCCTGTTGAAGCACCAGCTCCGACTCACTGGCAAAGGGTCTTCTCTGCTTTCTCGCCTTCTCCTTCCCGCACCTGGCCGAGACAGAGCACTCGCTGCAGAGGCCAGTCCCTCTAGAGTGGCTTGCCCCTAGGAGGGTGGTGACTGTTGTCGTGACAGTGCCTCCCATTTAATGAGCACCAGCTACAGGGCACAAGGAGCTCTGGTGGCGCAGTGGTTAAAGCACTCAGCTCCACACCAAATGATTGGTGGTTTGAACCCACTGGGAGAAAGATGAGGCAGTCTGGCTCTGTAAAGAGTGACAGCCTTGGAAACCCTATGGGGCACTTCTACACTGTCCTACGGGGTTGCTATGAGTCAGAATCGACAGCAGTGGGTTTGGTGTTTGGTTTGACTATGGGGCACGACCATGAGCGACAGGCTTTGTGAGCAGGCTCTTGATGAATCTTCCTTACAATCCTATGGGGACACTCCGCGACGACACTATGGGGATGTTCCCTGACGACTTTACAGGGATGCTCCCCAACTTGCTGATGAGAAAGCTGAGGTTCAGGGAAGGAAAGGGATGGATCCAAGATACACTGAGGCTGGATCCATCCCAGACCGTGTGCTGTTCCATACGACCAACACGCCCCCTGTCCTCGGCCTGCTCCCATCCCGCCATGACAAAACCTATTATGAATAATGTAACAGATCCACTGCAGGCACCTGCCAGGCTCACCCCCTCCTGGATGGTGGTGACTGGTCTTGTCCCACATGAGAGGGGATTCTGAGCTCCAGGAAAAGGACACGTGCCACAGTCATCAGGCCACCAAAGGTAGTGCTGTCTGCTCCTTCCACACCACCACCTCCAGACAGCCTTCCGTGACTACCAACGGGCACGGTGAAGTCTCCTCCCCTCCTGGAATGCTCTCCTGCATCACTGTGAATGACTACCTGTGCACAGTTGTCCAACACCTACACCTCGTGTAGCTGGCATCAAAGAAACGGCACTTCACAAAAGCAAACTTTCCACAGAATTCATTTGACTTCAGGCACCATAAGCTCTCTTTCGTGTCTTACCTTTGACCAGAAAGTAGGTCTCAAAAACATCACAGCCTGACCCCTGGTCCCTGCTGTTACATAAAGCTAAGCAGGGCAGGGACGCAGTGGGCCCAGCTACCCAGACCCCAGTGATGAGCATGGAAGCCAAGAAGCCACTCAGCCACTGCCTGCCTCTTTCCTTCTGACATCTGAAGTACTTTCCTGAAGAGGCTCAGGCCCACCACCCCAAACTCTTGTCCCTCAGAGTGGCGGGGGGGCCCTGCCTTTCCAGCCTCGTCTCCTTGCCCCGCTCCCTGCTGTCTACCTCTGCCCGAAGCCCTTCCTGCGGACCCTGCCGCTGCTGGGCACCTCACACCTGCTGCATGAAGCAGGAGGCCACCAGAGCAAAGCCAAGGCCCGTGCTGACTGCTGCTCTCAGTGGCGGGCCTCCTTAAGCCTGAGCTGAGGACTGACTGTCAGAGACGGAGCCTATGGTGTGTGACCCTTGTCACCACCATGAAGGATACAGTAAGCATTTGATTCAAACAGACAGACAAACAGAACCAGGAAGCTCCCAGGTGGAAGGGAGAGGCAAGAAGCATTGGCTGGGCACAGACCCCACCCCAGGCTCCTCCCTGGGCATTTCCCACCCAGCCTGGGCAGCTACGTGGAATGATCCCCATTTCACAGAAGAAAAAACCAAGGCTCAGCATTGAAGCCACCTGCCCAAGGTCGCACAGTGAGCAGCAAAAGCAGAGACTGAGCAAGGGCTTAAGAGCACCAGCTTTTCCACAGAGCCAAGTGACATCTGAGCCCTACGATTTCAAACAGGAAACCAAACTGCGGAGAATCACATCATAGAGGGGACGCCAAGAGGGAACAGAACGACGGCCGAATCCACTTCACTCTCACGGTCTGAAGTTGGAGACACTTCTTAGGGCCAGAGGACCCAGGACTGGTGCTTGCTGTGAGAGGAGAGGGGAGGACACAAGCAGCCCTGCGTCACCATGAGGAGGCCTGGGCAGGGGCCCACATGAGCTCTGTGGGCATTTCTGGAGATGACCTTTGCCAATTCACACTCGTTCCCTGAAAAGGCTCCATGGAGGCCTCACACGTGCCGTGAGCAGGATGTGGTGAGGCCCAATTGTCCACAGATCCCCGCTGGAGGGGCTGGGAAGCCCAGCAGCCACTTAACACTCCCTGCCTGCCTTTTTCTTTCTGACACTTTACACACTATGTTTATTATAAACCTCCCGAATCACTTCACACTGGTGAGTAATGTCCATGACATGGGCCATTTATCATCTAGTGACTGAGGGCCTCCTGGGGGCAGGTGCTAGGGATGCAGAGATGAACAGAACAGAGAAAGCAGCAGACTTCTGAGCCTATGGGCTCCACAACTGGCCTGCAGGGGGGTGAAAGGAAGCCCCTCTGCTGGTGCTGCAGAAGCAAGGACACGTGGGACATTCCAACAGAGCCGGGGGTTGGGTAACACACGAAGAAGGGCAGGGGATTGAGAGGGAGCCTGCCTCAGCCACTGCCCAGGCAGATTTGGGCACCACTCACAGGCCCCGACTTAGTTTTCTTCTCAGTAAAAGGGAAACAATGACAGTAGCCACTGTCACTGGGTTGACGTGAGCATTACGAAACATAAAGCACAGTTTATGCGGTTGGCATAGAATAGAATAAATCATCAATTAAAAAAGGCATTCCCATTTGGGGACACTGAGCATGTGTTAAGGGTGATAAAAAAATCTGGCAACAAGTAGTGGCGACAGCTGAACAACATGATGAACACGAATCGTGTTAAATTGTCCGTATAAAAAGTGTTGATGTGGCAAATGTTTTGTCACATACGTATTTACCACAGTTTTTTCAAAAGACAGGACTGGGACAAAGGTTAAAATATTAATATGGACTGTATATCAGAGAACAGTGCTGTCTGAATGACACTTCTTTAGCTGGGAATTGTCGTAAGGATATGTACAAGAGTGTCCTGAGAAAAATAGGCTGATGTATTTAGGGGCGAAGGGTCAGGACTCTGAAGGTTATCTTCACCTAGTTCAGAAAAAAAATATTACAAAAAAAAGAAACCTAGAAAAACATGACACATATCAAAGTGGATCTCTCTGACCCATCTTATGGTCCTGCCCAAGCTGGACGGGGTGGATTAAGCTGAGGTCTCTGTAGCAGTGGAGATGGGAAGGCACCAAGGGACATTCACTGCTCCACAGCCTCTGACACTTGGTCAGGCAGTCCCCCTGTCTGCTGGGCAGGGTGGGCTCAGCAGGCTGCAGACACATGCTGACCCCAGGGCACTGGGGCCGGTCACTCACCGTCATGCTCCTGTACTCATCTTCAAACATGTCCAGAAAAATTTCTTCCCCCTACAAAGTAAGGAGAAAAGAGAAGATTATTCACAGATTTTCCTCCACCACCACCAAAGTATCATCAACTCCAGCTGGTGGCTTTTGGGGCATCTGTTTCTTGTTAGGGAGTCCTGCTAAATCTCCAGGAAG